GGCAGGGGCCAGAGCTGGCTCAGGAACAGATGATCCGGGCAGGGGCCAGAGCTGGCTCAGGAACAGATGATCCAGGCAGGGGCCAGAGAGCTGGCTCAGGAACAGATGATCCAGGCAGGGGCCAGAGCTGGCTCAGGAGCAGATGATCCAGGCAGGGGGCCACAGAGCTGGCTCAGGAACGCCGGCCCTCCGTGTCCCATCTTCCTTGTTGTTAACGTGGACATCACTGCTATCTGTGGCCGTGGCAGGAACGTCGCGGCGGCACGTAATTTGAGCTGCTCAAGCACACACTGCAAGCCAGGAATGCATGACTCTATGCTAGCGTTTGGGAGGCAGAAGCAGGAAGATTGCGAGTTTGAGGCCAGCCTGAGTCCACAGCAAGATCCCACCTGGAGAGCAATTGTGGAAGTGTGCTTGGAAATGACCACTGGCATCCTTTCTCCTGGGGAGCCTGGGCAGGGCCCCTGCACCTCCCTACCCTGAGTCTGCACACGCCTCCCGTCCCTGGAGCAAGGCTGCGTCGCCCCTCCCCCAGGCTCCTGACTCCAGCTCAGCAGCTGTCACAGCACAGATGCCACCGCACATCCTTCGTGCTCAGGCTGCCACATGCCACATCCTCCGCCGGCCACGCGCAAGGCGGGTTCCAAGCATAGTGCCCACGTGACCCACGGGGGAAAGGAGCCCACACTGGCTGCCAGGAGAGCCAGGATGGAGGGTGGAGGGGAGCTGGGGTAAAAAGAGGCGCAGTAACTGAGTGGCAGAGCACAGGGGCTGGGCCAGACGCCTAATGTGGACTGGAGACCTCTCTGCCTTGGCCAAGCATCTTTCCTACAATGTCAGGTGTGGTGAGAAGCATTGCACCAGGCTGAAGATGCACTCAAAACAAAACAGAACCAAACTAAAAGCCTCAACGTTGAAAAAAGGCCAGGTGCTCTGGGTACACAGGATTTCCTGTGTGTACGTCAGGCACCATAAGAAATGCTGGTGCTTTGGGCCAACAGAGCACTGGGAGTCACGAGGCCTGGCTCCCACACAGAGCGTGACAGCCAGGGCGGCACACCTGCCCGGGCCGCAGCACACACACACACACACTCACACACACACACACGCACACACACAGACACGGCCAGGGCGGCACACCTGCCCCGGACGCAGCACGCACGCACACACACACACAGAGTGTGGAGCAGGCGCAGTGTGCCCGGGACGCAGCACACACACACACACACACACACACACACACACACAGAGTGTGGAGCGGGCGGGCACACCTGCCCGGGACGCAGCACACACACACACACACACACACACGGGGTGGAGCAGGCGGGCACACCTGCCCGGGACGCAGCACACACACACACACACACACACACACACACACACACACACGGGGTGGAGCGGGCGGGCACACCTGCCCAGGACGCAGCACACACACACACACACACACACACACACACACACGGCCAGGGCGGCACACCTGCCCGGGACGCAGCACACACACACCTCTCCAGCGGCGCTGTCAGCAGCACACATGCTCATCCTCGCCCAGGCTGAGGCAGCTCTGGCCTGACTTCCTGGCTTCAGCTGGTCCATCTCTCCTTCCCCTTCCTCTACCAACGTCAGGGGAGAACTTGAAGGATGGACATCAAGACCACAAGGGTCTGACGCGTGTCCAGTTTTCCCCCTCATGGCTGTGACGTCTCGGGCTGAACCGCACGCGCAGTGCTGTCAAGGGCCCGCTTTGGCGGCTGCTTCAACTTAATGTCGAGCCGCCGCCTGAGCAAGACCTTGGTTAAATTTGCAAACAGTAGACTCTCACAGAAGGAGAACTTTATATTTGTCTCATCTCGCCTTTCAAGACCCTGAAGTTTTCTTTTCTTCTTGCAAAGGGTTACAGAAGTTTCTGTTCAGAGGCTCTGAGCATCAGTGAGAGAGCAAAGTGTACCAGGCAAAACACCCACAAGCATGAGCGAGCAGACGCCAGCTTATTACAAAGCAAGTCCTTGTGAGCTAAGGGTCTGTCTGTGGTTCATTCCAAATCTCTGTTTCTCGTTTATGACTAGAATATCTAAGTCCTAGTAAGCCTACCTACACTCATCATCCTGTCCTTTTATACACATGGTAGCAGGTATTGTATTGTATGGGCAGAAGGAAAAATATAAAGACATGTGAAAGAAATACTTTTCACAAACAAACAGATTCAAACAACTACAATTTCCAACCAGTCTTTCCTTTGCTGTTTTTGCCTTTCATTTTGATAATCATGCACCTTCTCTGGTAGTGGGAGATGAGAAGACCGATCAGGAGGGCTGTGTTCTCTTCTACTTGCTACTGGGTTGAAGGGGCTGCTGTGCTTGGATTTCTCTCTGGATTCTTCCTACATAATCCAATTCAAACAGGGCTGTCTTCAAAAAAAAACAAAACTGTCAAGACCTATGAAGCATAAAAAGTAAATTGCTTTTCCACTCCAAAAAGCCGCAGAAAAGCACTAACTTCTGCCTTTTTATTTAAGCCTCTAACCCCTATCCTCTCATCTGTAGACCTCACAAACTGTTTATATATTATGCAGAAGAATACATCAGCAGTTTGTAAGCTGACAGGACAGCAAACCTTACTACTAAGCAGTTGAGCCTGTTACACAAGTAATATTCAAACCCTTATTATTTTAGTTTGACTAGACCCCCTCCCCAGCAATCAATGACACACACTGTGGGCTTCCAGTGAATCATAAATGGTCCAGACACACATCCGTCATGCATGAATGACCACTTTTAGGCGGGGAGCTCAGTTACACAAAGCAATAGAAAAAGACGGCTATGCAACGTGCAGTCAGAGATGGATGTCCTGTCCCAGGGCATCTCATTGAGACTGTTTCTAGTATCCCTCTTGTTTTAGTACAAGAGACCCACCTTCCTACGCTCAGATTTCTAAAGCTGACAGTTCTGGGGCAATAACCGCTCTGTGAAGCACTTGTTCTTAATATTAAAACAGGACAGACACGGCTTTGCAGTTCATGGGGAGATTGGCAGGCAGCCGCCAGATTCCTGTTGAGAACTATAAATGATGAAAGGTGTAGCAGATGGTTTTGGAAGAAGAGATTTATAGAGGTAATTTATAGAGGAATAATGCTATTTTTGAACTAGGCAATAATTCATGAAGACAAGTAACAGTTCAGATAATATCTCATTTAATTATGCTACAAAATATTCCAAGAAATCTTTGACTCAGGAGTCTAACATAAAAACCCATCAGCAGATTCTTTCAGGTTTGGTGATCTGATCCTGTTTGAATCGCTTTCTTATTGATGTGTTTTATCACAAGATTAAAAATGGGGTGCTCCTGACAGCTAGTTTTCTCCACGCTGTGACCTCATTTCAATTCAGCTAGTATTTGATTCAGGAGGAGAAAGGAAAAGTCCTCCTCTTTACTAGACGAGCCCCATTCACACAATCCCAGGCAGCAGGCCAGGAGTGACTCAGAGCCCGCAGAGCCTCTGGGTGGGTGGAGCCCCAGGAAGGAAACAGGCTCTGAGATGGAGGAAGTGCCACAAACGTTCCCCCGCCTTCCCCTGGCCAAGTCAGCACAGCGAGCATGGCCAACCCGGTATGTGGCCATCGGGCTTCCTAGATCCACTGCTTGCCCGAGAGCGGGGACTACTATCGAATATTTATCAGCAAGGCTGGTGAGGATAGCCAGCTGTGAGCGCTGATGCTGGAAGGAACACTCTAGACCTTCTTGCCTTAGTACTTAACTGTCCTTCCCGCAGACCCCACGGTGAGCGGAAGCCACAGCAGAGACCAGGGCTACTGTTCACAGGGCAGTCCTGTCCCTTACCGTAAAGAGCTATGCAGACTGCGCGTTTTTACCTCCGAAGTCGCAATCTGATCAACAGTCTGGTAGGGTGTACCTACAGAGCCCTCCGTTACTGATGGCCATTCTAACTACCACCTAAGGCAGGGTTCACCCAGGAGGACGCAGCCCCCAAGTGACTCCTGGATACATGTGATTAGCAAGAGCACAGTCCAGGAAGAACTGGGTCCACACCTGGTGCTGTGAGCTAAGGTAAGGCTGGTTCTAGTTGCACTGCTTCTTGGAGACTTTAAGAAGCCCAGAGTACTGTTTCAGTCCCTAAGACAGGGCTTCAAACACAACACTCAACCGCAAGGTTTCGGCAGAAACTTTTCCTTCTTCCTTCCTGCAAAGCGAAACATAGTGGAAGTCTGTTTTTGCCTGAAAGCCTGTTTTCCTAATAAATGTGGGCATAGCGACTGGAGCAAAATGGACAAAGAAGTTCAAGGAAAAAGTTAAAGGAAAAACTCAATGAAAAAAGGAGATGGAACGAGTGGGAGCAGTGCCCCATCATGAGCTGAAGTAGGCCTCCAGCCCCTCCAGATCCACCTCCATGGAGGAGTTCAAAGCCGCCAGGGTGGAGGGCGCATCCCTGGCTTTCGGTGTGCCCGCAGCGCCTGGCCTGGGCTGTGGGGTTTCCGGAAGGCTGGGCTCCTTCTTTGGGTCTTTACCACCGGTGAGCATCCGCTGGCTCTCAAAGAAGAACTGGTTCGGATGATTCAGAGAAAAGCCACAATCTTCAACCTGTGGAGAGAAGCACAATACTGTTGTGTGAACGCCCAGGAAAGTGGCCGGTTCCAGTCTCCACCAGCCCAGATGCCCCTCAGCACAGCTCACACCAGAGGCCCTGCCACGCCCCTCAGCACACTCACACCAGAGGCCCTGCCACGCCCCTCAGCAC